TAGGAGTTCCTTGGTGGTATAAACACACTGGGCGGGTAACTGAAAGGTTCTAATTCACCCAGAAGTGCCTCAGAAGAAAGACCTGGCAATCTCTTTTCCCAAAAATCAGCCATTAAATATCCTATGCATTGAGCATAGTTTTACTGTGACATGCATGGGATCTTTAGAAATCTGAATTGACTTGATGGCAGCTGGTTAGCAAGGTCACTAAGCAAGAGGCAAAGTGGGCAAACACCACTTTTGTTGCTGATTGCATGATAAAGATCAATACCCAAAATATGAGGATGGATCCAGTCTTCACCTTCCCACTGCTTCATCCTCATTGTCAGCTACCCAAGTGGCACTCTCTATCTGACCCTAGGCACCTGGAGCTAGGCCAGAGCTCACATGTTAGAAGGGCATCTTCTTTGAGACTGCCCAATAGATCGATGCGAGCCTCTAATGGCTCTCATTGCCTCTGTGGGCTCAGTAATTCACCACAATGATTCACAGACTCTCATGGGAAGTGTACCATACTTAGGGCTACATCTTTGTTATGACCAAAAGGAGTATAAATGAAGAGATATAGGGTAAGAACTGGGGTGAGTTCCAGCATAGAGCTTCCATGTCTCAAAGAGAGGTGCACTGCCCTCTCCATGCGTGGTCAACTATGAAGAAGCTCATCTGAGCATTAGGGTTCCAGGCTCTTAACAGCCTCCCCAAGTGACCATGATAGATTACATCATGCCTCCTACGACTTAGTCAGTATGGTCTTTCAAACATTCCCTGCTGGCCTGGTCAGTTTCTCTCATTAGCCTCATGTGTGGTCCACCTGTCAAGAATCAAGACTAAAGGCCAAATTCCTTTTTGCCAAGTGACTCATAACCTCAGAGAAAGTATAGAAAAAATAAAAAGGAACCAGCTGCTTAGTGGGCTACCTCTCGTTGCCTCCTTAGGTGAGTCATTTCTGGTGGCAGCCAGGGATTCCCCAGGAGGTGATGTTTTGTTCTCCAGGTTTTAGCCCAAATATAACATCTGTGTGATTTCTTCTATACCACACTGTCATTAAAAGTCTGTTGGAAAATGAATGAGTGAATGAAGACTTAAGTAGAGGGGAGGGTAACTATAGTTAATAAAGTTACTAACGAAGAGTAGGAGCTCTGGTGGCATAGTGCCTAAGGCACTTGACTGCTAACCAGATGGCTGACAGTTCAAACCCACCAGCCACTCCTCGGAAGGAAG